GCCCAGGAGCAGGTGCGGCTGCCGCCGCGTAGGGCGGCCCGGGTTTAGTCGGGGTCTTGCTAAGCGCCCGGGCTTTGCCCTCGCCAGCTACACGTGCACAGGGACAAGGGAAAGGAAGGGGAAAGGCCAGAGGGAGGAAGCCCGTGCCGCCCTGGAGTCGAGGCGGGACTGGCGCCTCTCCGGGGTTCGTGTTCCTGGAGGGGACGGGCGGTGTGGTGTGGGGGGAGCACTGGCCTGGGAGTCCTCGGGCGGCTTTCACTTCGGAGTCTGGTTCTTGGAAGCGAGGGGTTTGAGGCCCGTAACCTCCAAGTAGGATGGACCTGGGGTCCCGTTTACCGGGGCGACTCCCACCTCGGAGGTGCTGGGAGCTGGAGGACGCCCCGAGGCGCCGTCTACGCCCGGCTCTTCCTCGAGTTGGCGAAAGGGAGGCCCCGGGAGAGAGGCCTCGCTCGTGTTCACCCAGCCAGTTAGTAGCAGAGCCAGGACTGACTCTCTCTCTCTCTCTCTCTCTCTCTCTCCCCCCCCCTTTCCCTCTCTCCTCTCCCTCCTCTCCAAGGACCTCAGGCTGCCCGCCGTATGAGCATTTATTATTATTATTATTATTATTATTATTATTACCATCATCCCCTATAGCTCGGGAACAGTGGGGCTCTCGGAAGATGCATGAGTGTTAGCAGCTGTGACTCAGGGTCAGCCGCTTGGTGTGGTTTCTAAGAAGGGAGGTTTGGACGCTGGGAAACACGTGTGTTTCCGGCCCGGTTCCTCCCATAGGTGTTGACCAAAGCCACCCTTCGTGGTACCTTTGGGAAGTTAGAGACACTGAATTTGCTCTGAGAGGGGAGCAGAGCTGTCCTCGGCCTGGACGCGAAAGCTTCCCTCTCCCTATTGACTGTGCAGAGGGAGCAGGTCGCTCAGGAGGGGCCTCTGCCGTTGGGTGGTAACTGGTGGGATCTGGGCAGGTGGGGGCTCTGTGGTTTCAGTGTTATTACCAGGTGTGCTGCTTGCGTCAGCCATGAATTCTTTTAAACTGTGTCATGAGTTGGGAAGACTAGAAAGTGGCATTCCTAAAATATTTTTTAAATGAGGAGGAGGAGGATTTACTCATTGTCATTAAAAAACGGGGAAGTGGCCGGGCCAGCGTAACTCGGTGGTTGAGCGTCAACCTATGAGCCAGGAGGTCACGGTTCGAGTCCCAGTCAGGGCACATGCCCGGGTTGCAGCCTCGATCCCCAATGTGGGGCCTGCAGGAGGCAGCCGGTCAGTGATTCTCTCTCATCATTGATGTTTCTCTCTCTCTTTCTTTCTCTCTCCTTCCCTCCCTCCCTCCCTTCCCCTTCCTCTCTAAAATCAATAAAAATACCTATTTTTTTAAAGGGTGGGGTGGAGTTACACTTTTAGTACCAATGTAAGTACGAAAGACTAGATTTAGGTGCAGTGATTGGGAAGGATAAGGACTTGGGTACAATAAGATGTCTCAATATTCAAAGGTATTACATATCAAGACAGAAGGAAACTATATTGATACAAAAAACTAAAAGGTAACATTTTCTTGAGTTTTCAGTAAAGCAGCCTCTGAGAGACACACAGGTGAAAGCCCCATATCGCAGGGAAGTTTTTAGTAACTGGGTGATGTGCGACAGGTGATAGAACACGGAGAGAGCAACATCTCGGGTGACAATTTGGGGCCATGTTTGATAAAAGAATGGGGGGAGATATGTATTAGAAATAGAGATCCCCATCCTGCTGCCAAATTCAGGCTCAGTAGGTGGAGGCTGGGGCTCTAAGTGCCCCCGATCATTCTCAGGTTTGGGCAAGTATGGACATGGTGCTCAGGGAGTGGTTGGTTGTGTAAGACTTGCGTTTACCAGTATATATGGTGCCAGGGACCATGGAAGAGTAGGCCTTTACAGTTCAGTGGGAGAGAGAGAAAACACCCGAGGAAATTATATAAGATAGAATATGAAATGAGGCTGTCAAGAGGCCTGCCAGGTCATTTTCAGAACTTTCACAGCTTTAGAGGCAGGAGAGAGATAACAGCTCTAGTTACAATGTTGTCACCAGAGGTGATGTTAACAATATTTGTAGGCTTGTCCGGGTAGCTCAGTTGGTTAGGGCGTCCTAATGCACCAAAGTTTCAAGTTCGATCCCCAGTTCAGGGCACGTACAAGAAGCAAGCAATGCATGCATAAATAAGCGGGCAGCAAATCAGTGTTTCTCTCCTTCTCTCTAAAAATCAATAAGTTAAAATTATTTTAAGGATGTTTTTATAACTATGACAATATGGGCACAGACCAGTCAGCATGGACACTGGTCATAGACAATTGACACGGCCATCCCAGTGTGGGCCAGATTAATGTAAACTCTCTTTCTTTTAATATATCTATAGCGATACATGTAACTTTTAATATGTAGTAATGTGTAACTAGGGGCCAGGCCTTGGGCTGAGGGGTTTACACGATTGTCTCACTCTTAATGAGGCGTCGGTCCTGTTTTTACAGGTGGAGAAACAGGCTTGGAATTAGTTAGGAAATTTCCTAAAGTCACGCAGCTAATACGTGGCAGGCCTGAGATTTGAGCCCCACAGTCGGACTTGAGTGCTTAATCACAGGAGGGGCTGCGATCACCTGCTTCCCGGACACCATGGGCGAGACAGCTGGTGATTGTCCATTCCTCCTCTGGGCTTCACCTCATTGCGGAGATTTAGTCCATTGAGAAAACAGACCACCCCTGCATTCATCCAGGTTACAGCCAGCTAACAATTAAGTGAATAAATATATGCAATCTGTTTCTTTCAGTTTGTGAGAAGTGCTAGGAAGAAAAGATAAATAAATAAAGGAAGGCAGGTACTTGAGGGATTAGAGAGTGCTTGAGAGCAGCAA